AGGCGTAGAGACTGCTTCCGATCGAGAGTTGCGAGTCTGCCCATTCTGGTATGCAGGATCCGTGATTGCCACGTTCTCTAGCTGTTCAACAACAGAACTGACTGTAGAGCCTGCTGGAGCTGGATAGGGATGTCGGTCTGTCTCAACCTGGGACTGTGACAAACATCGTTCCACCAAGTTTAAGAATTCATTTGCATCGTCCAGAGTCCAAAAGTAGATGTCTATCGTATGAAGCCGGTGCAGGTCTGTGCCTCCGACTTGCGGGCCACTTAGAGGTAATTGCCATTCATACGGATTGTTCACCGGTGGAGGTGGGAAGTCCTCCGAAGTCTGCTGATTGTACCCACCTACAGTTAGGGTGCACAGGGTTGGAAATCTGGCGGAATGGTGCAGATGAACATGATCCAATGCTAGGGAGAGGTTAGCACTTCGACTGGCGAACACGGCGCGAGAACTGACATCCGTTGAATGCATCCTGCTCTGAAGTCCCAGGATTGTTGGCAACTTCGATCCTTAGCTTCTGCTGAGACGCATTTTTATACAAATATAAATATGAGCCCTTATCGAACCGATGATATTGAGGCTTGGGAGTAGGAGCTGTAAAATAACAATGGATATCGGCGAAACTGCCAATTCCTCGAATTAGATATTTGTATGTTCCCGCAGCTGGATATCAACTTCTGCGGGGTGGATGGTTGACTAGTACTTACACCGTCAGCACACGCTCTTCACCTGGTAAAGGAGGCATTATGTTCTAGGTATAGTAGAATTGAGGGAGTAAGGAATAGGATAGAAGACAAGAAACAAGTAGAGGCACGAGGGGCAAAAAAATTATACCGAGCAACACTGAATATATAGCTCTCTACGCAAAGGAGGGGACGACTTACTTGACCTCTAAAATGCACCGTTTTGACGCCGAGTAGTACGATGGCGCTTCGACAAGGGAAATGGAAGACGATGATTAGCTGAGAGCTTTTTAGTATGTAGATAGGTACATTCTCTCAGTCTTTATGCCTCAGGCAGAAAATGTAATCTGCTCGGAGCGGAGTCGGCTACCAGGTTTCTCCGAAAATTTCATCTGAGCTTCCGCATCTTCTGGAGTTTCTCCACGCCAGCGCAGTCATTAATAGTTTAGCGACATTGTCATTGACCGAACTACGTTGTGTTTGATAATCAAACTACTCGAAGCCGCTTCAGGTAAATTCTCACCCCCTAGTTTGCCTAGAACGACGCATGTGTTGACGCTCTTCACCGGCAGCAGAGTTGTCCAATCACTAGTACTTTGCGCTCTTTGTGACGATACACACGGCCCCTGCTGGGCCAGTTCTCTTTAATTTCAAGACCTCAACATGTCTCTCGTCAATCTCGCTCACGTCTGCTCGCATTTGAACAATGCATCCAAGGCCCGTCTTGGTCTCACATCGATTCCTCATAGCAACCTACACCTGAAATTATGCCTCGCCCTTCAAAACTCCGGTTACCTTTCCTCCGTCGTCCGCGGAGGGCCGACACCTCCTCCGCCTCATATCCTTCTTGGCCATCCTGCGGCGAATGATGAAGTCGAAGGCATCGAGCCATTGACACAGGCTAACATTGCCTCGAGACGACTGTGGCTGGGATTGAAGTACTGGCAGAGTGAACCGGTGTTGGGAAAATTGAGCATGGTCAGCAAGCCTACGAGAAGAATCACAATCGATGTTGCTGGACTCCGACGTGTGATCCGCGGCGAGAAGAGTGATTATGTGGAAGGGTTACGGACACCCGGCGAAACCTTGTACCTCTCGACCGATCGAGGCATCTTGGAGTCGAGGGAGTGTGTTGAAAAGAAGATTGGAGGATTGGTTCTCTGCAGGGTCCGCTAGAAGGACAAGAGAAGGCAGCACTCTCTCGTCTTCCTGTGTATTTTCTGTACGTTGTGTGATTTGCATTGAATCCGGAGTTTGGTTGGTCGCGATGATTCCTCCCATGCTTGAATATACCGCGATTGTTGGGATGGATGCCTTGGTCCAGGGCTTTGTATAGTAACTTTCTTAGACTCTTCATGTACTACCTATTCCCATCCATGATAAATCCCGAGCAATATTTTCTAAATACTATATTGTGTTATGTACGTTGCCCTTATCTCCTTTCCCGCCGCTCTAATAATTCATGAGCTTGGATCCTCGAATGAGTTGTGTTGCAGCATCCATACTGATCGCACCACAGATTGAGAAAGTAGGCCTGTTAATAATAATAGGATGGTAATATAAGTCCTTCAGTGGATACTGGAAGGCCAAAACATGAATGTCAACAAAGTCGACAAGGCCGGGGTTCGACTAGGATCTCGGAAGTTGGGACTTGATAAGAAAATATAGATATAAGTTCTCAAAGCTGTCTACAGAGCACTACTTACCAGTTCAACCGCCTTAGCCGCTCGGTCTACTCTCTATTGCACTGAACATGGCCTGTTTGTAATATTAGGCCACAGAAGCTCTGTGCTTTGAGTCGAGCGATACAACGCCGTGGAAATGTGAAAGCTGCATGCTCAATCGCTAAGCCAGCAAGAGGAAGGAAGACTGATACTGAGGTATGAGGCTCGTATTGGAATCAAAGGTGATATAGACTGAGGTGCGAGGCAAGTGTCAATGTTGTTCGCAACCTGCAGCAATACTCTCTTGCTCCCCAGAGCTCGCAGATTCTTACTAACCAGTCTGCTAGGGTTACGCGCGTTGTCTTGGAATTGGACTACACGCACATGCAAATGTGCAACAGACTTCGCCTTTGCGTAATATTAAAGCGTGGGTCACATCATACCGTTTACAGGCGGTAATGCATGGCACTCAGATCATTCATACAAAAAATTTCTAGTTATGAGAGTCGTGGACTACATTTCGTTGCTGTACGTCTGGTATTGCTGGGTCTCCATATATTCCCGTCGTTATAAACGAGCCGATTTCGGGACCTATTCTCTATATACAATATGGCAATTGCTCCAGGTGTAGATTCGATGGTAAAGGCATGCCAGAGTCGTCCTGTCCCATTATGTCAAATGCCTAATAACTCACAATTATTCTTGACAGGTATATCACATACTCGCACCCAGGCCGGCTAACGATATCAGGTTCTAGATGTAGATATACAATCAGTAACACGAATGAGAGCTGCTGATGCGTTGGCCTGGGGCTTGGGCGGTCAGGCATGCAGCGAAGTATATGCCCAATGTCTCCATGAATCAATCAATCATCGTAAGACAAGGAATGAAGATCCATGTTTTATTCAAGCCCAATTTCAATTCAGGCCGTCAGTCAGATAGTAGTAGCTACCATAGGTACCGCTTATTGCGCTTGACCAAGGACGATTGCCTGAATGATTCCCGCTGGCATCCAAAACGAGTGAAGAGCCCAAGGTATCCATTGGGCCTCTCAGTAAAAAGCAACAGGTGGTAGTTCGATCAACATGCCAGAGAGGATAACAGAGGCAAATATTATGCGGAAAAGCAAGGTTTACTGGGTAAACCGGGACTGAAGCGTGACCAAGAGGGAAGACGAGGCCAACTGATTCGAGGTAGAGGGCACGGAAGGGCAGCGTTACCTAATCGGGACAAACCACACATCCATCTCCATCCATCAGTCCTCCATCACCAAACCCGCATTCTCCATACATCGAGCCATCGAATTCATCCGAGTTGTGTAATAGGGCCAACTCAGCACAGCTCCTTCGTGGGATCCAGTGCTTCCATTATTGTATTAGGCCCCATAGGCTGAAGCCTCCCGCTCCCAAGAGGACAAATGCCCTGAGATTGCTGCCCAAGTATCCAAAACTTTATGCGGCACGGATCCTTTTACTCTTCTCCCCACTTCCTTTTTCCAGCATCATCCTCGAATGAGCATTGATCATCGCCTGGAGGCGACGGGGCTTTGGTTTTGGGCAAGATATCTCCAAAAAGGTCTATCCATGGCCATACTCTCCGGCTTATGGCCCCGTATCCACCTGATCCATCTGTGAGACAATCTGTGCCGGATCCAATGATGATGCACTTTAGCTGCTTCTTCGGCTGGCGATAATGACTGCCAATTGCTGTCAGTGGCGCTCTCTATCTGATTGATCCTTGTAGAAAAGGCACACTGCGGAGCACTCATCAACTAGCTCAAGCGGGCCATCTTCTGGACTTCGATCGTAGTACGTCTCCGCGCTTAACGAGTACAGGTAGTCAGGTATAATCTAGTTTCTATCTTCTGACAGGGACGGTAATCATCTTCGAGCCTTCCTTTCGTTTGTTGCCACAGTTGTGGGGTCCTCCCTGTCTTGCCTGTCTTCAGTGACTTGAGACATCAGAGAGATCTTGGCTCTTATTTGTCCTGCTGTCGATTAGATTCTCGGCCAGCTTTTTTCTGTCTTCTTCGTCCTATTAAACAGCGACTGTTCTCCCTCTCCAGACACATCGATGAACGGTTTCGAGCATTGAGAGACGGCCCTTCAACGTTCTTCATAGCAAATCCTTCACCTCAGCTCCGTGACTCTTCCAAATCTGGCCTCATGTCGCCGGTCCTCCCTCCTCTTTTGATGCCCATGTCGTCTTCGGGTCTCAGCTCCTTTTCTGGAGCAACGTCGAGCAATGGCTCTCGGTCGTTCTCCATCAGCGGCGATTCTGAATCCTGGCCTCATCACAGGTAATTTCCGATATACACTGCCAACCACCTATCTGCCTATGTTCCTCTTTGCCAGTTATGAATCTGCAAAAGGTAACTCACACTCGCTAGTGCTATGGTGCCTCCGAGGCCACACATTTACGGGACTTCGTCTGAGGCACCGATAATTTATCAGCAAAGGTAACCAAATCCCTCGAAACGAACATCCACTTACCATACTTCACTGATGTTCCGGTTGTGCTGAGACTGTTTTGTTTCTCTCGGCTCAGTGCCAAAAGATGCTTCCCGCCTACTCGTGAATATGCTCCAATTGATACTCAGATTGGCATTTCAAACTGCCCACAGCAACCGTCGCCGGACTATGACTTTCGCATGGCGTACGGTGGGCCACCAGGAATTCCGCACAGCCAAGGGGGTATGCATTTCTCGCCAGTTGCATCGCTACAGCGCCCAGGTACGGTGTATCATGATTGGGACCATCCTGCGCGTCTCCCCGCGGAATCACTGAGGCATGATTACGAATTAGCCAAGCCTATGGAGACACCGGAATGCCTCTTCGAGAGAAATAGCCGGCGTAATGCCGAAAAGGTGAAGGCCACTACACGGTACCATTCTCAGAGACGTCCCTCGAACCGTGACGAGTTTGACGGACCCCATCAGTTGCTGAAGCCACCGTCCCTGCGTGTCATTGAGGAGCAGGCCAGAGAGCTTCCTCATCTCCCTACTAATCTTGATGTTTCAGAGCAAGATCGAATCTTGAACGCAGTTAATGACCGCTTGTCCCAGTGTGCATTTGACTTTGTTGCCAAGTACCAGTTCCCCATCCCTTTGGAAGCAGACAAGAGAGAGGTGAGAATTCCCTCGGACCGCGAATGGACCGAATGGGTATATCTCCTGAAAAGGCTGGCCACCAAGCGCCGCATACCTGCCCGGGTTCTTTACAATGGCCAAATCAAACAACTAGTGACAGTATTGGAAAATTCCCTGGAAATGAGACATGCTGCCAAACATCAGTCCAGACCCATCAAGGATGATCGCAATGTGCTCCAGCTCATCTCAGCCGGCACTCAGGTTGCCAGAATGCTCAAAGATGCCAGTGCCATGGACTATCTGGACAAACTCTATATTGATACCGAGAAACGTATCCATGAGCGGCGCAGCCGGCGAGTGAAATTCGCCAGCCCTTGAATTTGTCCTGGATTTTGCCATTTTCTTGTTTTACGGATGTCACCAAATTATGGCCTATTTTTTTCCATCCTAAAGGAATCTCCGTTGGAAGCCATAATGTCCCTCCGGTCCCGTGGAATCATCCCTATTTAATCCCCGGCGCCCTTGGAGATGCCCCTCAATTTCCGCGGATGGACTCTATTCGTACCTTACTTACCGTGTGGATGGCCTAGAGGACTTTCGATTGATCCCGATGGACAAAATGAAGCTCAGCGCTCCAGGTTTGGTTGTTTTCCAACTTTCCCATTCTCCTATCGATGGCGATTGACCAATAAGAGGGTCTAATGAATATACGATGTTTGTACCGTTTTACTGGGTGGCCCAATCTCTTTTCATCAGGAGCTTGCACTCTACCTGTCTAATAGCGGGGGAACTCTACTGGATTCATGTCTCCTCCCCCTCAACCATGGCCCGTGTTCCCTGTACACTACGAGACCCGCTGACCGGCAGCGGTCTGTTGTTGTCATGTGAGTCTATTGACTGGCGGGATCTTGTCGTTTTTGTGTCGTTATTGCTTTGTCCATGTACCCTCGTCGTTGAGGGATGACTGCCATTGTCTGAATCTATGTAGTGTTTTCTGGTTGACTTGTCCGACCATAGTATCTTCTCGATCATGGCCCAGTTCACCGTCTTCAGAAGTCTGACACACGCCATTTTCCGCCTCTATGTTCTGGAGGGGAATTCCAAAGGACGAAAAAAAGTCGAACAGAAATGTAGACATCACGACACTCACCGAAATGACCAGACTTTGTTCCGACCAGTGCCTTCTCGGTACAGCCATTGACTGTAAACGAGATGTGATTCCGCTATATCACCAGGCCAGCATATTTTGAAGTTTTCCCGGGGTACGTGCTAGTTATGACACTTTTGGTGTCTAGGGGAATTATTGAGATGTTACTGTTTAATATCACCAGATAGCATGGTTCTATTTCTGACTGGTATTGAAGTTATCGGACGTCGAATAGCTTACAGCAAGATGAAATTGTAACGCCAGGTTTGCAAAGGACATAGATGTACAAGCTTACGTCACCAAACGCTACTCGGAACAGGTGAAGAGAGGAAAAGACGTGAGATATATCGTCATCAAGCATAGGCAATTGCGCCGAACATCCTCACCCAGATGCTACTCAGCCGCCGCCAGGAGTAGTGCAGGAGACCACGCGGCGAATGCTGGCTTGCATTCTTCCAGACAACGTACGCGACCACTCCTACCGTGGAAATAAGGGTAGTTGCAAGTCCCAACCCGAGGAGCCTGCCCTGCCAGCGAGCAGATCGGATTACTTCGGAGTACCGTTGGTTGCTGAAACTCACTCGCGAATACTGTGTTTGCCAGCCTAGGCTGGGCACGTAGCGGTCGAGTGCCTCTTCAATTGACTTGCGAAGTTTGTACAGAGGCGTCTTGACTCCCCACCGCATCTCGAGGTAGTTTTGCTTGGACAGGTCGTTGATGGCGTGCGTGTCCGCACAGCGCTGGTCGGTGTATGCTTGGAATGCTCTAGCGCGCGCTTCTCTACGAGCTTCCGGGCTTGCATCTAAATCGTAACTGCCATGCTTATCCAGGAATTCGAACAATACACGAATGTCCTCGAGTCCGGCGTTGAGGCCTTGGCCGTAGAAGGGTAGGACGGCGTGGGCGGCGTCACCCACGATGACGATACTTGAGTTATAATGGTGAGGCTTGCATTTGAGGCTGATCAAAGGAAGGTGGGGGTTGGTCGCGAACTGCTCCTGCAGATCTTCCGGAGAGATGAGTTCTGGACAAACACCGGGGAAGTGGTCATTGAAAGACTCGACCAGGTTCTGCGCCGAGGATCCTAGATGTTGATAGTGCGCGGCGGGCGCAAATAACGTGCACGTAAAAGATTTGTCTGCGGATGGGAGGGCGATGAACATGAATTCCCCTCCAGGCCAGATGTGTAGGTGGTTGGGGGAGATGTGAAAGTCGCCATCCTTGGTTGGAGGAATGCGGAACTCGCACCACAATGTATCGATGTACTCCTGCTGATAATCCACCCGGGCAAATTTCATCATGTGGTATCTTGCCGCAGAATGAGCTCCATCCGCGCCGATCATGAAGTCAAAGTCCACTTCGATTTCTGGCACCCGGTTCGCAGAATTTGGAAGAGGCGCCTCGCCGGGCACCCGACGTTCGAACCACGCTTTGCGCGCACTGAAATCGGCGCCGGTCAGTTTATGATTAAAGAAGAGCTTCACATTAGGCGTGCGTTCCAGTTCATCGAGTAGTGCGTTGTTCAAGGTACTTCTGTCGACAGCATTGATGGCCTATTGGCTGCGTTGGTGATGACTCACATGATCTGAGCATGAAGAAACTACTTACTCGTCCATGGACATCGTATGCCTGCGCAGCTTCCCATAGTTGCCCGTGGTCTCTGCCGTGGATCATCCGTCCGTGCATTGGAATCGTGCCTCGGAGGACGTTGTTGATGAGTTCCTCCCGGTTAGAGTGCCTCATGGCGGCAATTCCACGCTCAGACAATGCCAAATTGATGGACTTTGTAAAATTCAGAGGGACTGTCGAGGGATCACGAAGATCTATCATTTGATCAGCAGCTGCAACATACATTTGTGGATATGGAAGCCAGCTGCAACATCATCGGTGATGCATCAGATGCAAGGTGCAAGGTGGGGCCGCAAGTAGGAATGTAGCACAAAACATCAATTTGAACCTTGTGCTTTGCACCTTTTACGCACAGTCATATCCAGGACTGGGTAGCCGTGTACGAATATTGCCAATTCCAATGAAAAGATAGAACCTACCTCCACGCAGTTCATAGATTTCCACCTCATCACCTCTGGCTGCCGCATACAGAGCTGCCAGCGACCCAACCGGACCAGCTCCGACGACAACAAGCTTTTGTCTCTTCCGTACAGTATCCGCCATATGGACGGGACCACGGCTCTAGAGCTCTGTGAAATAGATCCTCTTTGTGAAGGTATTGCTGCTTCTTTTCGAGCTCACACGACGCCTTATGTCCTTTCACCTCGGAGGTGATATGCTGCATGCGATGTCGGAAAGCTCGGTTGGTCTTTACCCAATCTGGAATTTAAACTCGCTGCTCGGAGTATTAAGGCTTGGCACTTATGGGTTCTTGGCGCATCAAAGAGCTAATCGCTTTTTGGATTTAGTATTATCGTCAGTGTTGCGCTAAGACAAATATGGATTAGTGGTCTTGATAACGGTAATTTTTCCTTTTGTCGCCTGCGACGCATTACTATCAAATTATCGCCATCTGAAGATATTATACCCCAGTCCATTTTCTTTTCCCTTCCTTCTATCTTCTTCAGTAAATACTTTTTTACTTATCCCTTGACTAATTCATTGCGCGCCAATATGGCTATTGAAGTTGCGACCCGGAAATGTATGGGGTTGGAGTGCGAGAACAATGCCGGAAGTTTGCAGTGTCCAACCTGCTTGAAGATGGGCACCGATAGCTTCTTCTGCTCGCAAGATTGTTTCAAGCGAAGCTGGGTACGCTACCTTGCGTGACCGATAAGGTCCACGTGTGTTGCTCTATTCGTATTTTCTGTTATGCGCTGACTCGTCCGATCAGAGTGAACACAAGGCGATCCACAAATCGAAGAGTAATATCCTGTCCAACCTGTTCCCTCCGAAGGTAGTTTCTGAACCTGATCCAGCCACGGGACATTTCAACCCTTTCCCTTCGTTCCAATTCACCGGCTCTCTAAGACCCGTCTATCCTCTGTCTCCCATGCGAACGGTTCCCAAGTCTATCCCTCATCCCGACTACGCCAAAGATGGTATCCCTCGGTCAGAGCAGAAGTTTGTCGGTCGTCATAACATCACCATTCTGAATAAGGAACAGCAAGAAGGAATGAGGAAGGTCTGCCGTCTGGCTCGAGAGGTGCTGGACATTGCCGCTCGGGAGGTCAGACCAGGTGTTACGACCGACTACATCGATGAGGTTGTGCACAAGGCATGCTTGGAGCGTAATGTAAGTGGCTTCCTTGTCGTTCGGGAAGAGTAAGGGAAACCGCCTAATACATCGGCAGTCCTATCCCTCGCCTCTCAACTACATGCATTTCCCTAAATCCGTATGTACATCCGTCAACGAGACAATCTGTCACGGCATCCCCGACCAGCGGCCCCTCGAGGACGGAGACATCATCAACATTGACGTTACTCTGTATCACAACGGCTTCCACGGCGATCTCAATGAGACATACTACGTTGGCGATAAGGCTCGTGCGAACCCAGACGCGGTACGCGTTGTGGAAACTTCTCGAGAATGCCTGGACAAATCGATTGAATTGGTCAAGCCCGGCATGCTCTTCAGAGAACCAGGCAACGTCATTGAAAAGCTTGCAAAAAGCCGGAACTGCAGTGTGGTCAAGTCCTACTGTGGCCATGGCATCAACCAGCTATTCCACTGTGCTCCCAACGTTCCCCACTACGCAAAGAACAAGGCTGTCGGAACGGCCAAGCCTGGCATGTGCTTCACCATCGAACCCATGATCAACATTGGTACTCACCGTGATCGGACGTGGCCTGACGACTGGACCAGCACTACGGCGGACGGTTCCTTGTCCGCGCAGTTTGAGCACACGCTTCTCGTCACTGAGGATGGTGTGGAAGTTCTGACTGCTCGTCTGCCTGATTCGCCCGGTGGACCCATTCCGATGCCGGTCACCGAGGATGCGACGACGGCCGAGAATTGATGTGCATTATATAGACCCATAGACCCTACATGACTAAAACATTTACGATTCGAGGTTATGTGACTTATATCGTTCCAACTCAATCCTGGTAGATTATGTAAGCTGTTGATGCGCTCTATTGATTACGATACATGTAGTCGTTCCATCTTGCAGATAGATGAGCAAGTGAGTCAATTCGTCGAAGGCGTGATGCTTGGGCAAAACATGTCATTGGCAAAGTAGTAGTTCGCCTGCATTATCTTCATCGATGCACGGACCGCTAGTGCTGAAAGCAATTGTCATTATCGATATAACCGATTTTGTTTAACTAAAAAAATAATGAAATCCCTCTGCAACTTGGCCGGATGTTTATCTGTGATGTGAAATTCCGACGAGACAGATAAGGCACTGTTATTGTTGATAGTGGAAGAAAACAAACAAGGAAACTGAAGTCTGGAGTACTACCTAATCTGGAAGGTGGGTAGCCGGCGGACAGCCGCCGGTCTGAGATTGCCGAAAGAACCAATCATTTGGGAGAGATTGCTCCATTCCAGACGCTTAAGTTTGTCATTGTGAGTCAGTGGGGTGCATCATTATCACGTGACTTACTTTTCGTATTCAAGTCGGTCATCATGGGCGCGCCCTTTTTGATCTGAGTCGTGTCTCGTTTCAATCTGCTGTGGTATATACCAAGCTTTAGGAGATGTCTCCAGAGAGAACTCCCACAGAGACTTCCCCTTTGCTGGGTCCGCAGAGTGGGAATGCTCCCACCAATGGTGCAATTACCAACAATATCCTTCGGGATCCCGAGGCGGAGCCTTTAAAGGATGACCTGGCTCCGAGGCACAACCTTCGATACATTCTACCTGCTGTTTCCCTTGGTGTAGGTCTTATGAGCTATAGCAGCAATATTATTGTTGCTGACGCTGCTCGAAACAGATCTTCCTGTCTGCAGCCGATCAGACGATCATTGTGGCCAGTTATGGGCAGATCGGTTCCGACCTGAAAGCCCTTAATCTAACAAGTTGGGTGGCTACCTCATATTTCATCACTTTGGCGAGCTTTCAGCCACTGTATGGCAAGTTGTCCGATATCTTTGGCAGACGAGCATGTCTCTTATTCTCGTATTTTGTGTTCGGCCTTGGTTGTCTGTTTTGCGGCCTGGCGCGAAACATTCATGAGTTGATCGCTGCTCGTGTAAGACGGCCCATAGTATGACGAGATTTGCAGTGATGCTGATGAGATACCAAGGTTTTCCAAGGGATTGGAGGGGGCGGCATGACCACTGTGGTCAGCATCCTGATGAGTGATATCGTTCCCCTTCGAGAGCGAGGAGTGTGGCAAGGGATCATCAACATTATTTATGCAACTGGCTCGGGAACGGGTGCTCCGCTAGGTTCGAGTTGCTTCGATTTGACTTGGAGCTACTTTTGCTGACGTTTGACCAGGAGGAATACTGTCCGACTATATTGGCTGGCGGTGGCAAGTTCATCATAAGAACCGTCTTCAAGATTGCGTGTTGTGCTAACAGTGTTCTCAGGGCCTTTCTCGCTCAGGTCCCTCTATGTGTTCTTGCGTTCCTGGCTGTGACGATCATGCTAGATCTGCCTGTTCAAGGGGATAGCCATTGGAAAACCAAGCTGCGCCGCATCGACTTTCCGGGCGCGTTTGCTCTCGTTGGAGCAGTAGTCGGCCTCCTCCTTGGGCTTGATCGAGGCAGTAACGTCTCCTGGACGATGCCGTTAACCATCGCGTCGCTTGGTATCTCCCTCGCCATGTTCGTCCTCTTTGTGTTGATCGAGGTCTACTTCGCCGCTGAGCCGTTTGCCCCTGGTCATATCATCTTCGACCGAACCTTCTTTGCCAGCTACAGCTGCAACTTTTTTAGCTTTGGTGGCTGGCTTGCGGGACTTTTCTTCATTCCTCTGTACTTTCAAGCTGTCGATGGCGTGTCTGCTACGGTCTCTGGCCTGCGCCTCCTGCCGAGTATTATAGCCGGTGTTTCGGGCTCTCTGTTCGCTGGCTATGTCATGAAATGGACGGGGAAGTACTACTGGCTAACAATCGCTGCTTACGGCCTCCTGACAGTGGGTATGACCACCATCTACCTTTTCACGGGTGGGATTACCCCGAGCCTTATCCCTATGATCCTGGGAATGATGCTTTGTGCCTTTGGGAACGGGATCGGTGTCACAACCACGTTGATCGCCTTGAGTGAGTTGTTTCCTACCTTATTTGCTACCCCGAAACTCTGTTAAACTCATGTTTTAGTTTCAAATGCGACTCCCGAGGACCAGGCCGTTGTTACCGCCTGCTCGTACCTTTTCCGCTCCCTAGGTTCGGTTATTGGTGTGTCGTTATCCTCCACTGTAGTTCAACAACTGCTGCGCAGTCAGCTCAGATCCGATTTGCGTGATCGCAAAGACATTGATCGTATTGTCGAAGGAGTGAGACAAAGTCTGGACTACATCAAAACTCTCGATCCTACAGTTGGCAGGATCGTGCGAGGTTGCTATGGGTGGGCTACCAACAAGGGGTTTGCCTTTATGGTTGCCGTCGTCTTCTTCGCTCTCGTGAGCAGCTTCTTCATTCGAGAAAGCAAGCTGAGCCGGTAATCGAAAATCATTCGTGGTTCCTGGAGTGGATCAATCGACGGAATGGAACGATGGAGAAGACGACTATCCGATGATACACACGATAGCAATGTGGGAATTGTGCATCTCGGGCTTTCAGTAGATGTTGATAGATGTGATGACGATATATAGATACCTAGAGCCCTGTTACGAAATCAGGGCAAAAATGCATATCGTTTATTTCTGGTTCTGTACAGTCGTTTTATCATGTTATTCAACGTATAAGCTCAATCGGACAGATGTATATGTCATTTCCATCGATTGGCTCCGCGGAGTGACAAGAATCGGCCCCGTCTTTCTAGGCGGTCGAGGCAGTGGCCGATCAAAGCCGCCGCTACTGTTTCCTACCAGCATAGCTATCAAGCTATATTTATGCGAGACCTTTCTTTATCCGCTCCTTACTCATTATCTCATGTGGTTTAATACTCTTATGCTCTGATTTTTGATGAACTGTGATGATTATGATATCAACTTCCTGATCTCTGCAGCAGTTGCAAGCCGCCCTGCTCCGTCATGTCGGAGTCCCAGTCACGACCAGTTTCCCTGACACGGTATCGTCCTGCTCTTTACCTGCTGACAGGCGTCGCCGCAGCCTACGCTCTGGTATACATCCACAATAATATCCTTTTCCCCTCGTCGCCCCAAACACCTCTACGTCGCCGAAGAGCTGTCCGCCGAAGACGAACCGGACCCGACGAAAGTGATGTCAGCAATACACCATCGTACCGCGCGATTGCTCATCTAGAGCAACTAGAACGTCAGAATGGGGTGTACGGCACCTTCCGCATTGAGACCGAGGACGGACGCCGCGTGGAGAGCGGCCTCCTCCCATCTCTTTTGGCTACGCGCGATCAGCTGATGGAGGAAGTCGGCGTCCCGCAGGCCCATGCCGAGCGGATGCGCGAGATGATGGAGGAGACGTTCCTGGAGTCATTCCTCGCTCTGGATTTCCCGTCGGCCCATACAATCGAGGAAGGCACTGCGGAGAGGAGCTATCTCATCGAGCAGCTGCAGCGGCGGGGGATTTCGCTTACGGGGATTCAGAGGGCATTGGCACGGTTCAATGAGGATGGCAACTACGGCGAGGAGCTGCGAAGGCGGCGCCAGAATGGAGAGAGGGTTACGCTGTCTACATCTACATTTCCCGAGGAGTCTGTCCCCTTGCAGAACTTGGATGGTGGGGAGACAGTGGTCGACGATCAGAGCGTCTTCTCCTGGCGGGAAGGGAATAATGAGTCGTCACCGGCGCAGGAAGGCCAGAATCTTCTGAATCTGCTATATCACATTGCGGAGGATCAGTCTAGACGAGATGGCTACATCCACAGAGGGGTGACGTGCAATAGCTGCGGTGCCATGCCTATTCAAGGCATACGGTATCGGTGCGCAAATTGCATTGACTACGACCTGTGCGAGACGTGTGAGGCGATGCAGGTGCACATCAAAACTCATCTCTTCTACAAAGTTCGGATTCCGGCGCCCTTCCTAGGAAATCCCAGACAGTCGCAGCCGGTCTCGTACCCGGGGAAGCCAGCCATGCTGCCCCGTAGCCTGCCACGCGCGCTGGCAAAGCGTTTGATGAAGGAGACCAATTTCGAGAACACTGAATTGGACGCTCTCTGGGACCAGTTCCGGTGTTTAGCGAGCTATGAGTGGCCAGACGACCCGAACAAGTTGTGCATGGCTATCGATCGTAAAACGTTTGATCGATGTTTTGTGCCGCATACTTCCGTCCGTCCTCCGCCGCCATGCCTCATCTACGACCGCATGTTCGCATTCTATGACACGAACAATGATGGACTGATTGGGTTTGAGGAATTCCTCAAAGGTTTGGCTAGCTTAAATAACAAGAGCAACGATGAAAGGTTGCGGCGAGTATTCCGTGGCTACGACATCGATGGGGACGGCTACGTGGAGCGCAAGGATTTCTTGCGGGTTTTCCGTGCATACTACGCTCTCAGCAGGGAGCTAACTCGCGATATGATTGCTGGGATGGAAGATGACTTCCTCGAGGGAGGAGCACGAGATGTCGTGCTTGGGAGTCAGCCCGTCAGCTCGGCATTCCCTGGCAGTATTCCTTCTGGGGAGCCATCAAGGACCGGAGAGGGGAAGCGCTTGACTTCCGAGGGAGACCTTGAAATCGTGGATAACCAGGGCGTATTACGTCAAGATGGCAACGACACCGGTGACCGACACGCTGTTGTAGGTGAGGCAGCTATCCGGGCCAGATGGGGGTCCAGGGGGCCTCTATTTCCCGCGCAACTGGCAGCGCCGGCAAACACGACTGCCACAGATTCCGGCCGCCAAGATTCGAACGTTCCTCGTGCAAGAGATACACAACAAGGGGACGACGAAGACGCAAGCTCCGATGAGGATGGGTCCAGCTCTTCAATGGCTAGTGACTGGCCCGGCACAGAAAACATTCTCGAGCAGGATATTGTCAACGCTCTTGGAACTCCTGTCCCTCTCCAAGAGGTCACCGACCCAGAGGACAGAGAACGCGTTGCTGATGTTGTCTTCCGTAGAATGCGTGATGACCACCATAGACTCCTGACGGATGTTCGCAGGGACGGCATTGATGAGCGCTGGAGACGGAGGGCTTTCTACACAGACGTAGAAGATGGTGCCACTGCTCCCGAAGGCTATGTGAGCGATCCAGATGTTGACCATCTGTCCGAGGATGAGAATGCTCCCGGCCACCCTTCAGCTCTCGATTCCCACCCTCCATCCCCCCGCTCTCGATCCTCGTCCAAGGTGCGGTTCCAGGACGATCTCACCGACGACTATGACATCAGGTCGAATCCCTCCACTTCGTCTCGCAGTATCCCTGTAGGCGAGCGGTGGGGTGGTTTTGAGATCCCCGAGGTCGAGAAAGACGTCGGAAAGGAGATCTTGTATCAGGTAACGCAGCAGGGGTTTAACGAGCTCCTTGACATCTTATTCAAGCCAAAGGAAGATCTGCTCATGGAAGCCTATCGGACCCGCACAGAGCGCAAAATCTGGGCTCGCGAGATCGAACTTGCGGAGATGATGGATCCTAAGAAACGGATGGCCCAGGAGGGTGGGACGGCAACCGACGAAGAACTGCATGAACTCCTGAATCGGTCTGGTTATTCTTTGCAAAGTCCACAATTGGAACCTCTTCAACCTAGCCCCGATTTGTCTGTGCGTCCAACACTGGGAAGCCCTGAGAGTGTACAACCTGTGCACCTCGCCGATCCTGAAAGAGACGACGATTTGGTTGATTCTGCTTCTGTCGAGGATAGGGTTGAAGAAACCTCGGGTGCGATTGAGCCCGCGCGCTCCTTGACGCCGGAGCTGCAAGCTGCGACAGAGGCCAGCTCACGTCGTGACATGCCGGACTACGATCCGACGCTACCACAGTATCGGCCGAACGAAGAACCAGAACCTCCACGTGAAGTGCCCGGCCTACCAGTTCCGGACCTTGACAACTCACTCTTCGTCCCTATGGCTTCTCTCTCGCAAACCGACCTGCAACAACAGCAGCAGGATCTTCCGGCAGAGCTCCGTCTTCGACCGGGTAGCACCGCGTTCCCTGCACCGTCATCGTTACCTGATGCCGAAGCCACCGCACCCAAGCTGCCCCCTTCACCCATTCAACCTCTTCCCCCAGCTGCATCTTCATCTTCCTCCCTCCCGCGACGTCATGGTCCCACGCTTCCTCCGTCGACGCTGACACTTTCTCGCTGGGCGTACCTGAACCAAATAGAGCGGGAGGCGAAGGAACGTGGTGGTACTGGCGCCAAGCTCAACTTTGAGGAGTTTTCTCGCCGGATGGCGGCGGACCGAGGACGCAGGTTGGCGTTTGTGGCTAGCTGGATTGAAATGGCTAGTTTTTAGCCTTGTATCTCTTGTATAATATACGAAAGGAAAACATGATCTACAAGTGGCCTGCATCTTACGGGTAATTGTAGATAGACTAGGTAAATAAAAAAAATCATACCCTTTTGGGTGCCACGCAAAACCGTGGTCTAGTGACGAGTAAACCTGTAATATACACAGATAGCATGCCATTCCAGCAACCAACCCAACCCAGACGAAGATTTAATCCCAGTATTTGATGACGCCCTCCAATCCACCCGTAACCACTTTACTCGTCTCCTGGGGATGCCAGTCCAGACACGTGGTGGCACCGCCCTCTTTCCCTCCGGCCATGATCTTATGGTACATCTTGCCCGTCTTCCAGTCCCAGAAACAGACGTAGCCGCCGCTGTCACCGGACGCGACGAACTGGCCGTCCGGCGAGATCTTCACGTCAACAGCGTACCCGGCGTTATTGTGACCCCTGAAACTCTTCTTGCGGTTCTGCCGGAATTTGTCCGTGGCGCCGTACACGAGGATTTGGTTGTCGCCGGACTGGAAGGCGACGTATTTGCCGTTTGGATGGGGCGCGGCGCGCGTCAGGGCAAACATGTACGGCTCGGCGATGAACTTGATGGGCACGGGGATGCCGTACTCCCAGGCGCGCAGGGACTTGTCGTCCGAGGTGGAGATGAAGCGGCGGTTTTCGTCGACGAAGGTGATGGTGTTGATGGCCGCCAGGTGGTGGTCGTATTCTTGGACCAGCTCGCCGGAGCGCGTGTCGAACTGCACGATCTTCTTGTCGGACATGCCGGCCAGGAACTCGTGCGAGTGGTCGGCGCCCGGGTTGAAGCGGAGGACGTGCGGTGTCTTGCCCGTTGAGAAGCGCGCGATGCACTTGCCGTACTCGGTGTCCCAGAGCTTCATCTGGCGGTCGTAGGAGGCTGTCAGGAAGGTCTTGCCGGACGGGTGGAAGTCCGTGTCTGTTATAGCCTTGGAGTGGCCCGAAAAGGTACGCAGGAGCTCCCGCGAGTGGTACACATCCCAGATCTTGGCTTTGCCGTCGGCAGCGGACGAGAGAAGCAGGTGGCCGGAGCTGGGGAAAAAGCGCAGCGAGGTGATGGCCTTGGTGTGCGATTTCCAGGTGTGGATGAGCTTCTTGGGCACGTAGTTCTTGATGCTGCCGACCTCCTTCTGCAGGTCGACGTCCAGGTCCCGCGGAACGTGCATGTACGTCCGGCCCAGGTAGTCGAATTGCTCGCTGCCGTGGAACTCGGTCGTTTCCACCTTGGACGCGTCGTCCTGGTATTCGGTCGCCGCCTTGCTCATGGCGGGCATGTGTGCCGGCGCCAGCTCCTCGTCCTCCTCCACAAACTCCTCATCCGTTCCAAGCTCCTGATCCGCTAAGGCGGCCTCCTCTTCATAAACGCGGTCGTCGTCCTGATACTTTGCCCAGGGCCCCAGGTACGCGCCCTCGCCCTCGACGATGCTGGGGTCGCCTTTCTTCTGCCTCTTGGCTCGCAGCGCCGCAGACACCTCCTTGGACGGCTTCATCTGGATCACGTCTCGGCCTCCATGTTCTGCCGCACTATTTAGATTCCCCACAAACTGGTCCGGCGCCGAGGGGTTCCGCGTGTATCCCAGACTCTGGAATGTGCGGTGCTGTGCGGCGAACGTTGCCTCGCTGATGGCGGCCTCTTCGGCGAATCCGGTCGGGACGTTCTTGCGTTTCAGGCCGCTGGCGGAGCCGGCTGGCTTGAAGGGGTTTGCGGGCCCTTGCGACGGTCGCGAGAGATCGTCATATGTTGCGTTGTAAGTGAGGGCGTTGGATGTGGTGTTAGCCAGCATCATCTGCATGTACACTGGATCCTATGGGATCGTTAGTTCCATAGCCTTGATGTAACAGGAGACCAAATTTTTGAGAGAAAGGTAAAATCTGGCTGCTCAAGGGACCAAACCTCTGTGTTCACTTCGGGCGCAGCGATGACCTTGGTCGCTGGGGTCGCCGTTGCGACCTGGGGCGTTGTGGCGTCATCGTCGCTAGAGTCGTAGCCGACACCTAATAATGATGCCATATTGGAGATATATCCTTCCGGCGATGGAATGAGAGTAAATAAACGTCTCAAACTACGTCGGACGGTGGGTGGCTGTTGGTGGTTCTGGGAAAATTGAAGCCGCTTCTGAGGGTCGGCGAGTCTGCAATTTTACGGGCGACGAGACAACCATCAGCGAAGACCGACGGACGACGCAAGGATGAGAACAACCACGGGACGACACAACTCGACATCCATTCTTCGTATTGGGTATCAAATAATTGGCGTGCATATCCTTGGTCTTCCTATTATCTATTAATAGTTTCATCACCCAGAGGGTATCGTACGCTCTTTATTGTCAAACCGCTCGAGAGGTATATACAGCATTACAGACATCAACAGCATGAAAAATAGCAAAGGAAACATCACAAGCAGCAATTACAGCATCATGGCATCTTGCCAAACCATCCTCCATACGTACTCTCTCTGACCATCAGCAAAAGCAGTTGGTCAGGATCAAGAACCATCTATCATCACCACACCTCGTACAATTATTGACATCACCCAACATTGCATCGTATACCCGCTGCATTAATCTCGGCGGCCGCCCAGTCGTTCAACTCTGCCCGTCAGAGTTTCATCACTGATCATGGACAGGTATTGGACGAGGCAAACGCATCGACACTCATCAGGCAGGCACTGAGGTCTCGGAAATTAACTTCGTCCCCGGTACGAGAAAAGACAGCGAACGCATCAGTGACTCCTCAAGGGGAACGGCCGTAACGCATCGCATACTCCGTCTTGTCACGAAGTCAGTGGGATTCGTCGCGGATCAGAGCAACAATCATGCTGTAGAGGTAGAAGAAGAACATCAAGAGGTGGAAGCCCAACTTGATGAAGGATTCCTGTAGTTTTTCGTTAGCCGGACCCTCCCCATGTGGCGAGATGCAAGTGCCTATCTACCTTCTTGTGCACGTTCAGCTTGCGGAAGATCTCAGTCGCATCCAGAAGATGCTGGTTGTCAAGGATCCTGACAACAGAATGACGGGTTAGCCTGGTATCCAACTCAAGACTCCCATCGGGCTCCTATTCCGGGCGAAACATACTTCTTGGCATTGAACGCCAACAGAGGCAGGTTGAGAACGAGCGCGAGCCAGTAGCCATTGATCATGAACAAGATAGTGAGGAAGGCGTGAACAGCGGCTTCGGGGATGATGTAGGCGTTCAGACGGTTGCAGAGGTCAATGGGATTGATGTAGTCACTGCAGCAAGTAACCAAATTAGCTTGTGTGTCGTAATTGACTTCAGAGGGGAAAATACCATTCCAGATCGCTGTACATGATAGTAAAGAAGACCTGCAGGAACAGGTTGACGGCGTTGATGAGCACCGCCAACAGGTAGAGCCAGGCTTCACCGGACATGTTGCTGACTGGACTGCTTCTAAGAGAGGGTGATGGAGAGGAAGAGGATGAGGATGAGCCGGTGCTCGAAGCTCACAGGCAGAACGGGGAAGCTGGTGGAAATAAGGTCTGGAGCTGGGGACTGTGGACTGTGGGCTGTGGAGGGGTCTAGAGAGAGCAGAGTTGGGGGTGGATTCTTCCGCTCAGAAAAGCCGGAATGGAGAAGCGAGCGGGCGGTGAGGCCGAAAGAAGCCTAGACTGGAAGCTTTGATAGCACAAATAATTAGGGGTTAAGGAGTAGAAGAAGAGATGATCTGAGTGGTAGTAGATCTGAAGGTTCCGTGTTAAAATCTCTCAGCATGAGAATGACCTAGGCAGACGGAGAGAAGACTCTGACGCAGGAGGTTGGGAGCTGTGGTGGTGGTTTGTGCGGAGTGATGATCTAACCAGTCGGAGTAAGAGAACAGGTAGATGAGATGGGCTGCTCAAATAATAATAATGTGGGATATGAATCAGATGCTGATATAACTATCTATCTATTCATTTAGATGAACTCCTAAGACTACTACTGCTTCTACTAATGCTACAGCCAGCATAGCATAGCTGATGCTGATTCTCACTGTCAAACAATGACGTTCGGAACACGTGCTTCCATCCGCATCTGGCATCTTCGATCAACAACGTCAAGCAAGAGCATCGTTCAGCAATCATATATATACATCCAGCGGATCATTCCGACGTGCATCCCATTCCTGAAACAGAAGGAAGAGACACATATATACGTCTAAATATCACAAGCAATAATAACAGGTGTGTGATTATGCATCGCAAGAAGAAACGTCGATCCTACGTGGATCCTGATGACCCAGTCATCGTCAATGCGACTAGGGTGAAGTGACCGAATTATCTATCGCTTCTCCACGAGCAAGAAATGCATCGCTCCGTAGGCGATCACGAGGAATGCTCCGGAGATGATGGCCAGTCCGATGACATCTGGCCAGAACGCCAAGGTATCAAACCCAAATGCGCTCAAGATGGAGGCACCAGGAACTTCAATGTCGAGTCCATACTTGTGGTCAATCAACGTCAAGAAGGTCACTTCATTCACAATCAGTGCCTCAAAACCGTAGTGGAAGATGGACAGCTGGTAGTACGTTAGCATTTCTCAAATCGCTCCGGGAGTAGAATAGGCTGGAAACTTACAGTCTGAAGCCACAATGCGGACTTCGGTATCGCATCATGGTTGAGTAACAGCCCGGCAAACAACAAGCTGAAGAGCATGACGAGACTGCCGATCAAGTTGGCAACGCCTCCATCACGGAAGACAATACCGATAAACAGGCAAATGTTAGCCGCAGCCAAATTGAAGAGCACAAGCACCAGGATGAAGCGGAAGAATTCTCCCCAAGCAGGGATCAGTCCGGTCATGGGATACACAATGATTCCCATGATGATCGGAGGTATCAATCTCAGGGGCACGACGTCGAAAACCACCTTGGCGGCAAAGTAGGTAATGGGATGATAGTAGCCATTGGCCCGCTCTCTGACGAACAGGAGCCTTTCCGTGGAGAAAACAGTCAGACTGGTGAGCGTGCTGAATCCGAATAGAGCTAAGATGAAGAAGAAAAGACCCAAGCGGTTCTGGAAGCCCTTGATGTCATCTGTCAGGCCATAGAAGAGATAGCCACACAGCACTGCCAGAAGAATGGAGATCGCGTAATGTGTAAGCATCAGCATCGGGTTCCGATACAAGTTGCGCCATGTCCGCTGAGAGAGGATAACAAACTGGCGCAAAAGGCTGACTCGTGGGTAACTCTTCGCATGACCTGTAGCAGCTCCTGACATGATCTCCGCGTTGGTGGAACCGTTCGCGACGTGAGCTTTCTGAACGGCCGCAACGATCTCATCACGAACCGAGCGAGCAACATCAGAGGAGGCGTAGTTGGCGACCAGGATGTCAAGATCGGTTGGTCCAGGGGCCGCAGGTGGCAACTGATCAGGGTCATCCAGAACCTGGGGTGGAACATGGCCGTGTTGCCGGGAGAGGCGAAGCCATTGCTGAGTGTTGTCCGATACTTCACCACCGTCTTCTTCATCGGTCTTTGGTGTCGGTGGCGTCTCGTGGTCCTTTTTACGCGAGTATAGCTGTTTGTCCTGTCGCTGCTTGAGAGAGATCCGTCGTTTACCCTTGGGGCGTCGATTGGACTCAATGCTGTCCTCGATGCTCGCGTTGGAGGCGCTCGCAACCGACTTCACCGCTCTCAAACTACTCGAGGCAGTCCTCGGGGGTTGCACGTCCAAGAATGGCCTCTCATTTCCATTTTCATGTGACCGGGTAACGCTGGCATGCATGGTAAGATCCACGAGGTAGTCCGCAATATTGAAGCCCGGAGGACAGGAGTAGCCTGAATCGTCGAAATAATGCTGACATGTTGAGAAAGGGCCTGAGTATACGGTCTTTCCTTGAGCTAGGAGAACAAGACGATCGAAGAGCGCCACAATGTTCGATCTCGGTTGGTGAATGGTGAAAATGACTGTGCGATTGTAGGTTTTTGCCAAAGTAACCAGGCATTCAACAACGTTGAAAGCGTTAAAAGCGTCCTATTTAAAGCTATTAGCAAATACACAAACAAAAACTGCCGTCACAACGTAGTCGGGGAACTCTTACCAATCCACTGGTAGGCTCGTCCAAGAAAAGAACGCTCGGGCTGGTGACGAGTTCGCAGGCAATTCCGACTCGGCGTTTTTCTCCACCAGAAATGCCTCGGCCTCTGCCTTCCTCGGATCCAATCAACTGGTCTTTAATGTGGTAGATCCCAAGCTGCTTTTCGACTTCAAATACACGCTGTTCTTTAGCGGCTCGGCTCATGTCCCGAGGCAGTCTCAGCAACGCGCTGGTCAGGATAGTTTCATGCACCGTTAGCGTCGGCAGCATAGTGTCCTCTTGGTCGACAAAGCCGACCATGCTCTTGAAGTCGTGATCACTGAGCTTCTCTCCATTGATGTAGAAGTCGCCCTGCACCGTACCCCGCTTGTTCTTGCGAGCCAGAATGTCCAGGAAGGTTGTCTTTCCTGCACCGGATGCTCCCATGATAGCTGTAATTTCGCCAGGGTGCGCAGCGCCTTGGATGCCAGAGAGGATTTCCTTTCCGTTGAGGTAGTAAGACACATTATCCCAGTACAATGCCGCGGGCTTGTGGTCTGCAAGAAGCCTGGCGGCCTCATCATCCGAGTCGTCGGATAAAGGAAGATAGATTCGTCCATGGTAGGCTCTGCGGGAGAGGTACCACACGCCCAGAATGACAGCAACGACAAAGAGCGCGCAGCCCGCAATCACGCCGGCAATCAGAGGGGTATTGATTTGCTTGATCGGGCGCACATATCCTGGGACATCGGTATGATACAAGCACTCGCCAGCATCACAATTCAAAAAGATACTAGGGTCCCCGAAGACGCTCTTGATCAGGTCATCCATTGCCGGCTCCTGAAACTTGCTTCCGTCTTCCGGACTGCCACCTTCAGTGGATAATGTTCGGAAAGTGGCGGGGCCCTTGATCTCCTGCGCAAGAAACTCTCCGATATCAATCGAACCTTCCTCGCCACAAAGCATGCGTCCCGGAATACACTTGCAATTGATATTTTTGCAGTTGTACGTAGACTTATTCTGGTTGTAGCCTGTCTCCAAATTCCAGTCGCAGGTGTCCAAGGCGCAGTAGAAGGACTCTTTCTGATCCACCCAAAACTGAAAGTTGCAGGTCTGGTCATCGGCCTCGCACGAAAACGTCACCTGGGGCTTTCTGCCCTGGAGCTGGTCCAAGATCTTGCGGTTTGTCACGTCGCACATCTGGTAATTCTCCTTGACCGTGACGCCTTCCTTGTAGCAGACGCCTCCTTCACCTTCCGGCATCATGGCATTGCAAGCATCATTCGTCTTGCAAACGTTGCAGTTAATACCGCTCCAACCCTCTTTGCAGTCGCAGGACTCGCCCTTTCGCAGCGCTCGATTCTCCCCGTCGGCTAGCGAGCCACAGACCGGCTCCGAGCAGTCATCACCACCAAAGCCAGGCGGACATACGCATTTGCCGTTGAATTTGTTGCAAGGCGCAAATTGGGCGCATTGGAAAGCATCGAGCTGGCAGTTGAAGCACGGAGGACATTCGGGAGGTCGGTCATCGAGCGCGGAGAAGAGCGGGGGAAGTAGCTCGGACTGGGAGTAGTTGCTGCGGGCTGATGCAGTTGATGCGCTTAACGAGAGGAGAGCGGCTAAGGAGAGCCGTACTGTAGGTCTCAAACGCATGATGACTTATTTGTATGCGAAGATCAATCAAAGGAAGTTCTCCTTTCGCTCCGAGAGCGACCGAGTACCAGGCGGAGCTCCAAGTGTTATCGCCGACCGCGGAGTATATCAAGCAAGAAGACCCAGCATTTGGTGGATCGAAAACAAAATGCGAGCGACCAAGGAAAGGTCGTTATAACAAGACAGATTTAACGATTGTATCAACGATGAAGATAGAGGAGAGATGGAGAGGGCGTTGAGATGGAATAAGGAGAGACGGAGAGGTTGGAGTGCAACCTGGAACACGCCAATCTGTCTGGTCCTAGACTCTCCCCAGTAACAGTGTCGGATGACGACAGGCGGTGCCTTGGTAGCCTTGGCTTGGACGGGTAAAAGGCGGAGAAGCGACCAAGAGGGGAAGAGGAACCCAGTGCATGGGTAGGTACACTACACAGCTGCGTCAAGGTTCTCTCATGGGTTTAATTCCTCTCATGGATACGGTTATTTTCTATGATTATGTCTGTTCTTTCGAGAGATCTATCAATATTATCCCTCAGATGGTTGCTCTACTATCAACATCAACTCCTCATGCGGAGACGGGCCGATCCACGTGACCTGTACCTGGCTCAAAGTCAAAGCAGCGATTGCATTGAAAAGAAGCCGAAGAAGTTAAACATGAAATGGATCGATACATAGCTAAGTCATTTTCGAGATATTAGTGGCCGGACGCAATCAGATACTGTAACTCAACTCATTTATATAGCCGAGACCATGCCATCAAGCGAGGAAGTTCAATCTTGCACACATTCGTCTGCTTCGATAGCAGCTGCCATTAAAGGAGTTCATGGAGAATAACTAGTATAATGAGAGATACCAGTATTTGAGAAGACATAATTCTCATCACTTAGGTACCTCTCTAGGACCCTGGTTTCTGGTGTAACAGCGTATGGGGGTCTGTGTACCTGCGAATAATATAAGTCTACAAAATATATAGTACTTTATGGTGGCCCTCGTATTGGATCGCATGGCGAAAAAAAAGGAAAAAAAAAAAAAAAAAAAAAAAAAGAAAGAAAGAAAGAAAAGGGAACTTCTCTCCATTCGAGGAACTCATTTGTCTTCAATCTTGAATGAGGAAGCAAGGCATCAAATCATACTTGACTCTTAAGCCATCTAGACAGGATCCACATCTGCTCTCAATGATATCGCTCCTGCATTATTATTCAGTGCTCACTAATTGCAGCATAGCTGTGATCATAACTCTGGTGTGGCCGGAACCAACCAAACCGCCAAACCGAGGCATCAACATGTTGCCTCCTCCAGCTCGTGCATTTAATATCAGCACATCCCCGTTCTTATATTTCCCCTCTTTTCTATTCCCATTAGCCATTAGACTGTTTTCTTCTTCTTCTATAGGGTGATTGTTTTGTGTTGTATTTGGACTTAGCCGTTGTACTACCAGTTCTATCCAGTCGTTCTTGCTCCTCGCCCTCACAATGCTACCCATTCCGATCCCTTCTCTTCCAGGTATGTCTTCATCTAAGCGATCGTACACGAAGTCTCAAGTCGTCTCTGGAATCCAAGAGGCTCTGTCATAAAATAAATACTGATTCTACGTCATCAAGATGTCCCTCTCTCTCTCTCTGGGCCAGCCGTCGCCACGGCGCTGGCCTACTTGAACGCCAAGTACTCACTCTTCTATGACATGACGTTGATCAAGGCTCTGTTGAAGATCGCTGTAAAAACTAGCTTGGCACAGCGCCGCGATCGCCTCAACTTATTCTACGTCCTCGAGAGCCACGCCCTCTCCCCGGCAACTAAAGACCAGCCGTTCATTGTCTACAATGGTCGTACCTGGTCCTTCCATGAAACATACGAGCTTGCTCTCCGTTATGGGAACTGGTTCAAGACAGTGCACAACGTCAAGCCCAAGGAGATAGTTGCTGTGGACTTTATGAATTCATCGACATTCATCTTCCTTCTGCTGGGTCTATGGAGCATCGGCGCTGTGCCAGCATTCATCAACTACAATCTGACCGGAAAACCGTTGACACATTCAGTTCGCACGTCTACTGCCAGGCTCCTGATAGTTGATGACGAAGTGCGCGAATGTTTCCCACCAGAGCAATTGCAGATCTTTGCTTCCACCGACTTCCGCGAGGACAAAGGTGCTGTGGAGGTGGTCTTTTTCACGCCGGATGTGGAAGCTCAGGTCATGCAGGCCGAGGCTGTCCGTGAGGATGACAAAGCGCGCAGTGGCCCAGTCTTGCGTGATATGGCCATGTTGATCTATACAAGTGGTACTACCGGACTTCCAAAACCCGCCATTGTCAGTTGGAGGAAATGCTGGACGGGCAGCACTTTTGTGTCCAACTGGTTGGGCATAAAGCGAGCGGACCGCTTCTTCACAGTACGTTGACCTGCCTTGCACATATCAACTATAGCCAAACGCTGACAAAACAAGTGCATGCCCCTCTATCACTCGTCTGCTACCATCCTTGGTTTCGTGTCCTGTCTGATGGGTGGATCGACGTTTGTCATCGGCCATAAATTCTCCGCTAGGAGCTTCTGGAAAGAAGCCCGTGAAAATAACGCCACGATCGTCCAGTATGTGGGTGAAACGCTACGATACCTTCTGGCCGTGCCGCCTCAGATCGACCCAGTCACGGGCGAAGACCTAGATAAGAAGCACACCGTCCGGGTCATCTTCGGTAACGGCCTGCGACCCGACATCTGGAATCGGGTTAAGGAGCGGTTCAACATTCCCACGATTGCCGAGTTCTACGCCGCAACCGAAGGCACCTCCGGATCATGGAACCTTTCCTCTAACGACTTTACTGCAGGAGCTATCGGCCGAAACGGCGCCCTGACCAAACTAATCTTGGGCGGCGGTCTCGCCGTCGTCGAGGTAGACCACGAGTCTCAGCAGCCCTGGCGCGACCCGAAAACGGGGCTCTGCCGCAAGGTTCCTGCCGGCGAGCCTGGCGAGTTACTCTACGCAATCGACCCCAACGACCCCTCCGATAAATTCCAGGGCTACTTCAAGAACTCTAAGGCCACGGAAGGTAAAATCATTCGAGACGTCCTCCGCAAGGGCGACGCATTCTTCCGCACGGGCGACATGGTCCGCTGGGATCTGGAAGGACGGTGGTACTTCTCCGACCGGCTCGGCGACACCTTCCGCTGGAAATCGGAGAACGTCTCCACGAGCGAGGTGGCCGAAGTCCTGGGCACGCATCCGGACGTGCACGAGGCCAATGTCTACGGCGTGGCGTTGCCCAACCACGACGGCCGTGCGGGCTGCGCCGCTATCGTCTTCCACCAGCAGTTACAAGCCGCTAACCCGTCCGAACTCGCTGAGCCGTCTCAGAAAGTTCTGGACAGTCTCGCAGCTCACGTGCTGAAAAACCTGCCTCGCTTCGCGGCTCCCTTGTTCCTCCGCGTCACGTCGGAGATGCAGGCGACAGGCAACAACAAGCAGCAGAAACACGTCCTGCGCACCGAGGGCGTGGACCCTGCGCTCGTCAGCGGCAAGGATAAGCTGTACTGGCTACAGGGGAACACATATGTCCCGTTCGAGCAGAAGGACTGGAACCGGTTGCATTCCGGGCAAGTCAAGCTGTGATTTTCCTTTTTCATTTCTACCATGCACCGCTACTTAGTAGCGGTTATTTCCTCCCTTGATACCCTGCGCGACGCTCCTTTCTCGCCCTCGAATTCGCCCTCTATGTGTTCATCGACTACGATATTGTTATAGTTTATGATGAGCGTTTATGTAGGAGTCAAATTCATTTATGTCTAGTACACTTCGATGATGAGAAGGGTATAGATCACCGTCTGAGGAATCGTAACTCAATAGCCCGAAGAGGAAGGTACACGCTAACAGCGAATATGAACGCCAACCACATCCCCAGATCACAGCCGTCAGGAAGTGTCTGAGCGATGGGCCCACTGAAGAACGATTGGTCCTGGGAAGAACGTCAGTAAGGCAAAAATTCAATAGTCCAAGGAAACAAAGAGGGTACGTACCATCCCTAGAACGGCCCCAAGGCAACCCGCCACCAAGCTCCCACCCGCCGCCCAGCCAGTGGGTAATTTGGTCGCATCATCCCACGACTCCCAATCATATGTCCCCTTATCGCGGTACGCTCGCAGGACTGCCTCCTCCAGTACGATCCCGAACCACGCGACGATCCAGTAGCTCATGAGCGGAAGGAAATCCTCCATGATATCACGCAGGTACGCGCGCGCCACCACGGCACAGACGGTATACGCGACTACCTCGACGGTTGTCAGGAGGGGCTGAGGGATGCGCGGGCCCCACTTGCCCAGCATTTGGAGGTTCAGGCCGGCTGAGTACGTGGCGGGGATATTGTTCGAGACGGCGGTGAGGACGAGGATGGCGGCGCAGAGGCTGCCGAAGCCGCAGAGGCCCGAGAAGGAGAGCGCCAGGAGGCCGCCTGGGGAGTCGGCGAAGACGGCCATCCAGGCGGGATTGGAGTAGAGGGCTGTGGCCAGGCCAATGCCCAGGATGGTGGTGAGGACCATGGCGAGGCCCATTCCTGCGGCGGCGGAGAGAAACATGCGGATGGGTCGGGTGCTGGCGGGGAAGTAGACGAAGTAGTCTGCGCTGGAGGGGGTCCAGGTGATGGCGGAGGCGAAGCAGAGAGAGAAGAAGGAGAGGCGGTGCGCGGATGTGTCCTGGGGGAGATCAGGGGAGAGACGATGCGCGGAATCGAAGGCTGGACCTGCGCAGCCGATCATGATGCAGAGCACGGAGAGCGAGAGGACCCAGGCGTATCGGGACCAGAGATGGAAAATGTTCATGCCGAAGGTGGCGATGCACCAGGTCAGGACGGCGACGACGACAATGCCGACGGTGACGGGCGCCTGGCCATTGGAAATAGTGAAAATGATCTGACCACCCAAAATGCAATTGACCATCCCATAGCCCAGCATCGTCAGAATGTTGAGCAAGCAGCAGATCTTGCTTGGATAATAACCGAGAAAGTATCGCGTTACCA